AAGGAAGGAAGGAAGGAAGGAAGGAAGGAAGGAAGGAAGGAAGGAAGGAAGGAAGGAAGGAAAGAGAGATTAAATATGTTCATAATAACAAGTTTCTTCAAAATCTTAAGAAATATATGCATTAAAAGCATTCATAGTAACAGGCTTCTAATACTGCAATTGCAGATATTCCTTATGAAAATTCTCCCATTGCAAAATTATAATAAAGAAAAGCAGATTTGTTGCATGTCAGGCTTTGAGCCCTACATTCTGGCTGGAATCTTCATTTGTATTTGAACTGGTTGGCCAGAGGATTAATGAAGGCATGGATACAGTGACCTCTGACAACCAAATGCAGTGTCCGGATTGATCTTGCTAGGAACTGGAAGCCATTATTCTTCATATATGTGAAAGTTCATTATTAATTTTGAATTATTAATTATAATAATCATATTTGAACTATTCAACATAGGAATTATGCCCTTACTAATGAATCCCATTCATGATAGCATACATGAAAAAAAAAGCTTTGTTTTGTTTACATTTTCTTTCAAATGACAGTTCAACTGATTTATGATCAAATTAGAAATCTTTTACTATTTTTTAATTCATGAGGTCATTTGCAACTATCTTTTTTTTTTTTTTTGCAACATTTTCCAACCATGTCACTGACTAGGTCACATGTTGCTTTTTCCGTACTACTCTCAGCACAAATTTTGGGGATGCTAAGAAGGAAGACTGTTCTTCCAGCATTTGGGAATGGATGCTCACAGATTTTGCAAATTTTAAGTAAAATATGTCTTACCTGCCATAAATTTCTATGGCATGTGAAGCCATCACCAGTCCCCAATATACAAAGGCATGCTCGATTCCCATGTTCTTTTCTAAGGCACACTGCTAATGGACTGCAACCACCATTATTCTGATCAAGAAAAGAAAAAGCTAATAAGCTGGAGCTATGATCAGGGGTTATCAATCCTTCCTTTAGGCATAACTTGTCTAGATGACTCTTCTTAAAACTTAGCTGTCAGAGAAGCAAGTCCCTCTCCTTTTCCAACAATCGAGCAAGCAATCAACAGCTTTGGATAAGGGGGAAGTAGCCATCTCAGTGAAGACTACCGTGTACAGAAAGCTCAATGCCATGCCCTAAAGCAAGGGTCTTCAAACTTGGCAAGTTTAGGACTTGTGGACTTCAACTCCCAGAATTCCTGAGCTAACATGACTGGAGGAGGAATTCTGGGAGTTGAAGTCCACAAGTCTTAAAGCCGTCAAGTTTGAACACCCCTACCCTAAAGTTTTCCATGAACCTATCAGTAATTCAAACACTTTAAAACAGAAAGGTACCCTAATGGAATTCACCTTCTCTTTTAAGGAATTTGAAGCACATGAAATTTAAATTACCCATTTGATGGATATAGCTTTCTTGTGAAAAAACACTTCTATTATTTCTTATTACTAGTGATTTACATGAAGAATTTCCTTATGTTATTCTGTTACCACCCAAGGTTACTGGACTTGATAACAAACTCCATTTCCCCCACCCCTTGTGAAATTTATTACTGGAAACTTTTAAGAATTACCAAATAAATCAAGGCTGGGAAATGTGGTGCCTACGGTACCATGGCATGCACAAACTTTTAAACTGACACTAAAATTACACAAAATATTTTCTTAAAAAACACATGGTGGGAAATATCACAAGGCTGCCATTCAAAATCTTGTAAGATTTGGGCAACAATGCCAAATGACTTCAGCGAATTCCTGATATTTTGGTTATTTAAAGAAAAAGATAATTTTTAATGTTTATGTTGGGACCTGCACCTGGATTACCTTTGTGATGAGTGGAATCACACCATTATCATAGTATTGTTTGCTTTTTTTTAAAAAAATGTAATAACTAGCATTCAGGAGATTTTCCAAAGAAAGGGCATCAACAAACCTCCAAGCAAGGATCAGTATATTCACATTTCTTAATCCCATCACCAGCGAATGGGGGAAGACAGACACAGGCAACCTGAGAGAAATAAAAACACCATCACATATTTCACATTTAGAACTACAGAGGGACACAAACTGCAAGACATCTTCTGCAGCAACAATAAAGACGCAGATATTTGTCATTTTCCATCTCTGTCTGCTACTGTAAGTGTATCCTACATATGCAGGCTTTACAGGTGCTGTGAGTGGCAAAAGTTGTGCGAGTACAATCAGTTAATAATCACATTGCAAATGAACGAGCCCTGTGTGTGTTAAGCCATTGGATATTCCCACTGGGGAAACAGAACAGTGAGTACACACTTGCCGCACTTCGAGGTGAATATGTAAAGGACAAACTACAGGAGGTCTGCCTCCATACTGCCTAACCCTTGGTAGCACCAGCCATAGAACCTGTAGCTTACCTTGGGCTCTTTCAATCCTGTATACATGAATGGTATCTTCCTTTGCCTCTCGTCCAGGGGGTGGAATCCCAACCATTGTTGCATTGTTGTTAGACTTTAAATTACTTTGATCCACCGCTCCATGCACGATCAGCAAGGAGATGAAGCAGATGGCAAGGAAGACACTGTATGCAGCTTACAGGATATAATAGAAATGCTACTGCTGCCTCATCAGTGACCATTTATGCTGATGATTCAGCTGCCTCCCCAGATTAAAAAAAGCAAGACACAAATAACCAAACCGTACTGGGGGAAGTATACCCCAGAAGGACAGTGTCAGAAACCTTACAGCACTAGAAACCTCAGAAAACAGTGCCAAGAGACTCAAGCCAGCCCTTCCTCCTTTAAGAAAACCAAGAGGCACTAGCTGAAAGGAAAAATTCAGAATGGCTGTTACAAAAGTAACACTTAAGTAGAACCATTAAGATAAGGGGGATCAGTATTAAAAAAATAAACTCTCCAAGATAAACCAAAACTCCAGTGGTGGGATTCAATTTTTTTTACTACCGGTTCTGTGGGCATGGCTTGGTGATCATGGCTTGGTGGGAGTGGCAGGGGAAAGATAGCTGCAAAATTCCCTTCCCTCCCACCCCAATAACCTGATTTCCAGCTCCGTTCTCCAGTGCAGGACAATCAAAGAAGACCCAGCTCGTCAGCTGGGACTCAACGGGAGGCAGAGAATAGATGGGGTGGAGCCAGTCAGAGGCGGTATTGGCCGGTTCTCTGGACTACTCAAAATTTCCACTACCAGTTCTCCAGAACTGCTCAGAACCTGCTGAATACCTCCTCTGCAAAACTCCCTCTTCCTGCCCCCTGATAGGATTAACTCTTAGGACAAGAAAACACAAAGGTACAAGGAACAGGATTAACCCATTAAAGCAGGAAAGACAAAAACCCAGGGCAATCACCTCAGCTAGAGGCACATCAAACCCCATCAAACTGCAGGAGCTTCAAAGGAAAAGTAAGTACAAAAAGGTACAGGCTTGCCATCCCAATTTGCTAGCTAGCCAGGAATGCTTGAGCTGTGTCACTGCTTCTGACATTGTGACTTTGACATCCCTGCCTTATAGTATTGAAATCCTAGCACACTTTATAAAAATTGAAGTATTTCCTGCAGTTTTTTTTATACAGAGAATGAAAGAGAAATTCAGATGATTGTTGTTAGTATCATTGCTTTTTTCATATGAAGGTTTAGAGTTTATTACAAATTTTTAAAATACGCATTCACAGCTTTTATCTACCAAAGCATCCAACAGTAAGAGTAATAAACACAATATACATGTTATAGTGAGCTTACATTATGTAATAAATATAAAATGATTGAAATCAGGACTTAATAAAGAAACCATCATTTTATTTGGCTTATCATAGAGGAATCAAGGAAAGGCTTGAGCAAACAGGAAGATTTACCTGTGCCATATAAACAGGAAACAGAAAAACTTATCCTAAATAGAGGAAACGAAGTGACTGCTCAACAACTTTATTTAGCTAAGGCTCTAAAGGAAATGAGGGGCTCCACTGTCAAATATTATGAAAATAAAAATTACAATTATGTGGGGTAAGATAGGAAACAAACATGGATATTTCAGTGTTAAGAGACATGTTCTCTGCTGTTTTTCAATTATAAATATATTATTCAAAATAGGATAAGATAAAAATTTGCTTACCAAACCTGGCCCTGTTTTAACACACGTTGCATTTGGGTGGCATCCTCCATTGTTTTCTAAGCACCGATCCAGCTCTACACATAGAAGAAATGCACATTATATCAGATTGCTTCCACTGCAAACTATGACTATGTTACAAAACAAGGTCTCAGAAGATACGAATCAGTGAATAGTCTGTTAACTTGTGCAATAATAAGTGCAATGAGCAAGAATAAGCCAGGACGCATTTTTGATCTTTCTAAATGCCCCAAATGTTCCTCGTAAAAATTCATCATCGATGAGGGAAAAACAATACAATACGAAAGGACAGTACAGAAAAAAAACTTTTAAGCAGTTTTTACCTTCCCAAGTGGAACATTCATACAGTTACAAAGTATATCCCACCTACAAATGGAGCAAACAATGACATTCATTCTAATGGTAAACCTAGTAAGCTGTCACCATCACTGGTGAAGAATCTTCTTCTCCATTACTCAGTGATCATGTCCACATTATTTTGCCATCTGCCTTGCTTAAAGTGAAGTAGCCAGTGAAGAAATATACATGTATATTTTAAGAAAGCACTGATTGCCTGGGCTGAAGTAAAAGACAGCCAAAGTTGCCATCGAGATGGGTGACATATAAATTTAATAAATAAATAAATAAGGCAACTTCTCTGCAAGAGAAATAATACCATCTCATTTATCATGCTTGAAATGTTTCATCTCCTTTTAAATTCATTTATCTGGGTACTGGTCTATCCCAATATTTAATTAGTAATCCCATTTATATAGTTGCCAATCTCACAAAAGTGATGTTGGGCAGGAAAAAATACATATTTTAAAGCCAAATCAGCCATCCTTTCATCTGCTTTGAATAGTATGAAGCTTATCCCAAAGGTGCTTTTTCAAGAGGCAACTGGACTTTCTGGTTTTTCTTTGTTTCAGCTTTTGGATGAGAAGTGAAACATCTTCTAAGATAAACCAGAAAGTCCAGTTGCTTCTTGAAAAAGCACCTTTGGGACAACCGTGACTTGGATGACTGAGAATCTCCATAGACATGCATGATGCTTACCTCTGCATAAAGTTCCATCTCCTGAATAACCTTCTTTGCAAGTGCAGATGTTTTTGCCTGGTGCAATTTTGGTACAGTTGGCATACATGGAACAGCTGCCATTATCCTCAGCACAGGGGTCTATTTCTGAATTGCCAAAGAAAAAGAGGGTGGGCTAAAATAGAAAACAGTTTTGCACAGGTATGGCAAGTACATTTTCGAACACCTGGGGACCTCGTCCAGACTGTGATTTGAATCTTTGCTTTCCTCCATTGCACCCCTGTTTATGAAGCAGGGGTGCAGCGCTGCCCGTCTGCAGCCACCAGGACCCTGCAAATCTGCAGGGACAGTGTGGAGAAACTACAGTGAAATATGGTAGAGAGGGTTCATGTGGGATATAGAAAATTATATTTCAGAAGAATGGTTTGGATAATTTTGTCTGCTCCTTGACCTGAATGGAAGAGCAGGCGAAGATTTCAAGCCTTTGTTTTGGCCAGCTGTGGCCTTCCTCAACCCAGTTGCCACAGAAAACACATAAGGGTTTCATGCCCATTTTCTTTGACATGGACCTATAGCTTGTCATGGATGCAGACAAAAGGGGGTTTCATAAGATTACATAAGTTTATTCTTCACTGTAAATGTTTCTCTTCAAAAAATGCCCATTTCTCTTCATCCAGCAACTAGCTATTGAAAGTTTGAACACAGCACATAGAAAAGCATTGAATGCTACATTTTAAATAGTATGAAACTTATTTTTGGTAATGTTTTACTTTTTGTAATGCTGAAGTGGTGAGCATGTATATGTCAGCAATGCTCGTGCATGCAATTAGTGAAAAATATGGTCGTTTTTAGCTATTATTGATCTATCTCTATGTACTGTATCTACTGTATCTGTGGTGTTATTTTTTTAAATCAAGCATGAATAATGAATTGAAAGCATTTGCCGGCAATACCTGTACAAGAGGTTCCATTTCCAGAATAGCCAGCAGAACAGGAGCAGGTGGGTTGAGAAGTAGTAGAGTCATTCATGCAACTGAAACAGCATCAAGGGGGATTGAGAATTATATATGAACACATATGTTTATGATACTGTGTGTTAATTGTGTTGTGCTTGTTTGCCTGGATCACATTGCTCCCCTTCTCTCATTTGTCTAAATGTGTAGTTACACAACAGAGATACAGAGATGCAGGAAGCTCAAGTTTCTGATATATGTTTCTTTCACATGCTCAAAGTGGAATTTCTGTTACCTTGAAAATAAATGAAGATTGCTATTGAAAATAATTACAAAGTAAATCATTCTGAGGCAGGAATTAGTGATTATGGTTATCAATAGGCCCATTAATATCTATATGAAAATCATTTAGGGGCAATAACTCAACTTACTTATTTGGATAAGATAATTAATAAATCATGGGAAACGTCTTGCCTACTCTTGTTCAGAATGGGAAGATGTAGTTTGAGAGGCATTTATATTTAAATTAAGCAAGATCTTGACGAACAGAATTTATACTTTCACAATCTCCTCTAATGTATTAATTGTACATTAGGGAATTTAATAATTGCTAGATCATTAGGAATTAAGGAATGTATAATAGAGAGGCTTAATTAAAAACTCAGCTTCCTAGAAATACTGCTTAATTTATTGATTATATTTTTATCCCATCTATATTAATATACAATACAATAACCCAAGGTTATTAATATATAATATACAATAGGTGATAAACATAGATAATACTCCACCCTCCTCCTCTTTTTCCTGATCACAACAACCCTGTGGAGAAAAAGAGGGAAAATATCCCTATGGGGGTTGTTACTGAAAACAATCACATCATTTCAAACATGTTTTAAATTTTGCCCTACAATTGTACTTACTTTGCATTCACATCACATGTACCATTGCAGAAATCAGTTTCAATCTCTGCAAGAGAACATTTTGTTAGAATATTGTCCAATCTCCAAGCAAATAGTCATGTACTTCGATTATAATGATATGGGGGAATGATCTTGGGAGACATAAGAAAGAGCTGCAGGCTGGACAACCAGCTTATAAAAGATAACCTGAATCTCCTCACCTCAGAAGCAGAGGTGATCTGGGAAGCATTTCAGAAATGACCCTGCCTAGTTTCCTGGAGAATAAAAGGAAAGGAGCAGAGGTGGTATTCAGCAGGTTCAGACTAATTCTGGAGAACTGATAGTGAAAATTTTGAGTCGTTCAGAGAACCGGCAAATACCACCTCTGACTGCAGATTTTACAGTATCCTTCCCCTAAAATTGTAAAAATTTTTGAATCCCACTACTGGAAAGGAGGGGGGGAATTCTCACAAGATTCTGTTAATATAACCTTACAATACAAATAGATTTATTGGAGTCAGTTGGTGTCAGCTAGAGAACTTGACAGCCTGGATTTGAAACTTGAGCTCTGTGAAATGGGGTGAGCTCCCTTTACTTGCTCCAGCTCCTGCCCACCTAGAAGTTCAAAAGCAAGCAAATGCAAGTAGATAAATAGGTACTACTTTAGTGGGAAGGTAACAGAATACCTTGTGCCTTTGGTATATAGCCATGACCTTGGAAATTGTCTTCTGACAATGCTGGTTTCCTTGGCCAAGAAACAGAGAATAGCAGCATGCCCTAGAGTAGGACACAACCAACAGGGAAACCTTTACATTTACCTTACTCATGATGCACTTTTTGTTTGGACTACCTCAAAGGACTAACATGAGTCTTGTAAGATTTCTACTCTTGTAGATAGGCAGAAAATCCCACTTGGAGTTTTAAAACTGGCTTTCAATCTACAGGCATCTATCTATCTGCCAAGCATCTAGCTACAGCATTGTTGCAAATGAGCAGCAAGGGGATACACAAGTAATCAATTTACAGAATGCCACCAACTAACACAACAGCTGCGACAGAATTTGCCTTAAACTGCAGCAGCACAGCAACATGAAGCTCAACCAATGCTCCTGAATTTTTACTTTGGCTTATCAGAAGAAATCAGACTGGGCCTGGATCAGTCCTGGAGTCAGCTCAATGTGAAATATTTAAGGCAGGTAGACTAGTGGAATTTGCCACATGCTATTTAATTGGCCTGGAATAGATTCTAAACTCTTAATTAAATTTTTTAAATATTTGTTTAGTGTTAAGGAAACGAATAGAATTTTAGAACCTTGTGAATGAAACATATTCTCAAATCAATTTCTACTTTTAGCAAAGACTCTGGGTCTAAGATAGGGCTGAGAAAATAAAAGGCAGGTGGTTGCTATCCAACTGGGGTTTGTTTTTGGTTTTTTGCCCTCTGATATATGGATGTTTTATGACTGGTCCAGTGGTGGGATTAATTTTTTTTTTTTACTACCGGTTCTGTGAGCGTGGCTTGGTCGGCATGGCAGGGAAGGTTACTGCAAAATCCCCATTCCTTCCCCACTCCTGGGGGAAGGTTACTGCAAAATCCCCATTCACTCCCCACCTCACTAATCTGCTTTCCAGCTCTGTTCTCCTGTGCAGGGCAACAAGAGAAGACCCAGTTGATCAGCTGGGTCTCGGGAGGCAGAGAATAGATTGGGGTGGGGCCAGTCAGAGGTGGTGTTTGCCGGTTCTCCGAACTACTCAAAATTTCTGCTACTGGTTCTCCAGAACTGCTCAGAACCTGCTGAATACCTCCTCTGGACTGGGCACACTATATCATGGCCACTTTTTGTGTGTGAAAGCCCATTGCATGTTCTTGCATTCAAGTATGCCCAGTGACACCAAAAGATTGGGCTCTGGAGTATGTCACACTACTGATTCATAATATTACTATTTTCTCATTCTACTTGATGAACCCAATTAAAGCAGGAATTCTTGTAAACTACCTCATTAATTGATTAAATGTCCAAAATATTGCACAACTTTTATTTTTATGGTGTTCTTTTTTCAACTAGCAATACTAATTACGGTATATGTATTTGATTATCCCTTATATCTGCAATATATTTGTATTCATCCCATAGATTTGTCATGAGAACCAGGCATCCTCTGCAGATTTGACCACAGGAAAAGAAAAGGGTTACATTAATAGTACAACAGAGGTATTTCATGAGAAGAGTACTCCACTCCTCTGCTTGCAATAGAATACCTTATGCTACCAGGCTTATGCTACCAAATTTTGGACCTGGACAACCTAGAACCATGCCACCTATGGTCTGATCTAAGCTTAGTACACAAAATTGTCTGCTACAATGTCCTACCTGTCAATAATTGCTTCAGCTTCAACCGCAATAACACATGAGCAAACAATAGATACAAACTCAAAATAAACTGCTCCAAACTCGATTGCAGAAAATACGACTTCAGTAACAGAATGGTCAGTGCCTGGAACTCACTCCCCGACTCTGTTGTTACATCCTCAAACCCCACAAATTTTAACCTTAAACTGTCTACTGTGGACCTCACTCCATTCCTAAGAGATCTGTAAGGGGGCGTGCATAAGCGCACCAGCGTGCCTACCGTTTCTGTCCTACTGTTCCCGTTTATTCATACTCATTTATTATGTATATACTGATACCTGTTTATACTTATATGTTTATATGTTATGTTTATACTTATACTTGCTTTCTCATACATATTTGATAAACAAAATGAATAAAATAAATAAATAGCAAAACTCCAGTTCTGAGATTTTGAATAGAGCCCTTTCTCGTTTCTTTTAAATTTGTTTTTTTTTTTAAAGAAGCCAGTTCTGGAGTGATACTCCTTGTTTCCCAACTTACCTTTGTCACAATTAACTCCTTTAAATCCCGAGTTGCATGTGCAGCTTCCATCACCTAACAACCCATCATTGCACTGCCCTTTATTGCAATTGCACTCTAAGAAGAAATATAAGTCTTCGTCAGGTACAAATTAATACATTCGACGTTACCTGTGCTAGTTTTTCTGCACCATCATGGCCAATAGAAAATTCATTATAATTATATGCAGACCTTATCACTATTAATAACTGCACAGGGTCTTAGAAATTAAATGTGAGCAGAAATATTTGAGAAATGTATACAATATGTGTAGAATAATGCTCTAGGGGTTTACAACTTATCTAGCATTAGAATAACACAAGATGTTTGAGTGTCCTGCAGGTGGCCCCAGTCACAAGCAGTAGATGAATCCAGGACATCTCAATTTGAGCAAAATTAAATAGGATAATTGTTTGGCCAACTGTTTGATGACTTGTTGTTTGGGCCACATTAAAAATTGGAGGATAGCATCAGGTTTCAAAAAACCCTGGAGACTGCATGCAAGTCTTTTTGTGAGCGTCGCTACTTTAGACCAAACACTTCTCCTATTAGAATGGATAATAGTCATAATCACCTGATTGACACTTGGGTCCATATCTTCCTGCCTGACACATTTCACAGGCTGTGCCATGGAAACCTTCTTGGCACTGGCAATCTCCATTGCCTTCAATGCCATCTTGACACACCCCATTGCCAGAGCACCAATTGCCTGGTTTCCCAGGACACATCTCACACATCACACCATAGTAGCCTGGACAGCAGACAGAGACCTCAGAAAACAGACAGATTGATAGTCAGACCAGGAAAAAAAATAGAGATTTTTGTACAAATGTAAGAATGACTGCTGAGTTTCTCTTCATTCTTCCTTGCAAGCCATCCAGTGTTATAACATTTGAGTTGAACAGAGGCATAGAATCAAAATCATGAGAGGTATTAGTATTGCTTTATAAATCCTTAGAAAGACCAGACCTGGAATACTGAACCTGGTTTTTGATCACCACAGTACAAAAAAGATGTTGAGACTTTGGGAAAAGTGCAAAGAAGAACAACTAAAATGATTAAGGACCTGGAGACAAAAACATATGAAGAACGGTTACAGGAATTGGGTATGGCCAGTCTAGTGAAAAGATGGACTTTGATAGCAGTATTTGAGGGGCTGCCACAAAGAAGAGGGGCCAAATTATTTTCTAAAGCACCAGAAGGCAAGACAAGAAACAATGGATGGAAACTACTCAAGAAGAAGCAACCTGAAATTAAGGAGAAACTTCCTAACAGGTGCCTAGTGAAACCGCTTGCCTTCAGAAGTTGTACGTGCTTCATCACTGGAGGTCTTTAAGGAAAACCTGGACAAGCCACCTGTCTGAAATGGTATAGGGTCTCCTGCTTGAGCAGGGGGTTGGACTACCAAGGTCCCTTCCAACTCTATTCTGATTGATTGATTGATTAGATGGTCACAAAAATCTTCAAATAAATTAATGTCATGTTCAAAAGTTTATATTGCTTAGGGCTTGAAATGGTATCATAATAGCATCTTCCTGCTTATCATTTTTGATATGGCACCAGTAATATCAATATACTTCTATGCATCAGCAGGGTAGTCAGTTATGTATTTGCACAGATGATGAGTGAGAAACTGATCTCAGTCTCTTAATAAAGAAATAAACCCTTCTAAGCCAGCCACAAGAAAATAATTACATGGGGAATAGCTGCATATTTGACATATGTATAGATTTCTAATCAATAGATATGACTTACTAGGGAAACTTTGACGCAGGTAAAGTAGCAGCCAACTAATTTCATGCCTCCAGATTTAAATATACAGTGAGGAAGGTTCCCTTTGCCTGGATTTTGCTGTCAGTGAAAAAGGGGGGGGAAATGTAAAAAAAAAAAAAAAAGTTAAGCAGATATACAGTATATTCCCAACATATAACATCTTAGCATGATGAAGAAAAAACTCTTATTTTAACTCTTTCTTTTTTAATTCAATACAATTTTATTAGTTTATAATATAGCATACAAAGAGAATACAAAAGTAAATAGTAGGGAAGTTAGGAAAGGGAAAAGGGAAATAAATAGTGGAAGGGAAAAAGGAAAAAAAAGCACTGACTTCTGACTCCCTTTGTGCAGTAGAATAAAGGCATTAACATCTAATCTCATCTTTTTTAATTTTACATAATAGAAGTTTCATTTTTTTCCACCTCAAGCACAAAGTCTAGAAGTGGTTTCCAAATAGAAAGAAAGGTATTTGTATTTTTTTCTTTGATCAAAGCAGTCAATTTAGCCATTTCTGCTAATTCCATCAGTTTTAGCAGCCGTTCGTCCATTGTGGGGATCGAGGTGACCTTCTATTTCTGTGCATAAATTAGTCTTGCTTCCATCAACATATATAACATCAAAGTTTCATTTTCCCCCCAGGTCTTTTTCTGGTTTTCTTTCTATATTCACTTTGATAATTTTCTATTTTAACATATGAATCCTACTCCAATATTTCTTTGCTTTATCACACGTCCACCACAAATGATTAAAAGTCCCTTCTTCACATTTATATTTCCAACACTCATTTGAGATGCCTTTATACATTCTTGACAACCTATCCAGAGTTAAATACCAATGAAATAGAAATTTTCTTTTAAATTATAGTTTAATGTAAATTTTAAACCCTTATTCCACACGTTCCCCCACTGTTCAAGCATTACATTATATCCAAAATTCCTTGTCCATTGAATCAAACAATGCTTTACTTGTTCATTTTCCAGATTTCAAATCAGTAATATTTTAGCAATAATATGTTCATCACTATCACACAGTAGAGTATCCAGTTCTTAACTTTTTAACAAAGTTAAACCCATGATTCTTTTTATCTAATTTAAATCTTTCTTTCAATTTAACCAATGACAGATATGACCTTCTGATTCTAGCTGCTCCTTAGATTTGAGGTAGGGCAGGGGTGTCCAACCTTGGCAACTTTAAGACTTGTGGACTTCAACTCCCAGAATTCCTCAGCCAGCAAAGCAACATTTACTTTAACTTTATCATACTTTATTTTGACTCTTTCTACCTTCCCACAATAAACATTATAAGCTCCAAAATTCTGCATAAGGGCTGCTTTTTTTTTTTTTGACGTGCTTGATAGAAAAAATGTATCAAATGAAATAAAGCAATACTTACTGCAAGCACTGATCCTGCTGGACATTTGATCCTTTTCTGGCATTTAGCACACCTTGACTGGCATACAGGAGAAAAAGGATAATTAATAGATATTTCAGAGCATGGAAAAATATTAGCATCAACTGCAGAAGGGTAACAAATCCCAACACAACAAAAGCCCACATTAATCATTACCTGGTTATTATTTTTTCATATTTTGTGATAGCAGAAATATTATCATTGTCAATATATTTATTTATTAGCTTTTTATCCTGCCGTTATTACTTTATAAGTAACTCAAGACAGCATAATATTGTTTCCTCCTTCTATTTTCCCCACAACAGCAGCCTTGTGAGGTGGATTGGGCTGAGATGGAGTGTTTGGCTCAAAGTCATTCAGCTGGCTTCGAAGCCCAGGTTGGCATTATGACGCACACACACGCTTCTTGTTTCATTTTAACCACTACTTCAGGTTGTCTCTCTATCCTTATCTGAATCTCTTGTTATTCCCACATCAAGATTTATTTATTTCAATGTCATAGACCTTTTTTAATCTTAATAAACCAATCACTATTTACTGAGATTTTAAAATCTATGTTTGGGGTCTGAACCTGCAGGATGCATTAGGTCCATAAAATCATGACCATATTTGATTGTTTTTGTTAGGATAACTGCTGCTGTAAAAACAAAATGCTAACATTAAGTTTTGTGATTTTTACTATATTGATAAAATCCTCACCAGGGTCAGGTATACATTTTTAACTTTTTAATCTTAAATTATTCAGTTTTTGATGTTTTATTGTATTGATTAAATTGTACGTCACACAGAGTCATTTTGTGAAGGAGATGGCTGATTGATAAATAAATAAATAAATAAATAAATAAATAGAATGATATTAAATGTTGTTGAGGAAACCTAGTGATGCCAGCTTAGTTGTTCCTGAAAGTTGCAAGATTTCAAATTTTAAGAAGAAAAAGAGTGTGCATATATTAGGTGGAGGGCTCAGACAATCAGTTTATCCATGTGTCAAATAAGACAGTAGAAAACAACTAGTACTCATAATGAAGAAAGACAATCTCTAATACTTCACCTTTTGTACAGTGGTGGTATTGGTAGTGCAACGGTTTTTGTGAATCTGTAGAACTTGAGAAACCCCAATCAACATTCCATTTCTGGTTTCAACAAATGGACCATCCAAAAGGACTCTGTTTACATATGTCTGCAATTTAAAAAAAAGGGATGCAAAATGAAGTATGATTCAAAGCACAATTATCCAGAGAACATTATAAAACCTCCTTCTGCCAATACAGCACCCTCAGTGGAAGCCAACCAAAACCAATGAACTTAACTGTTGGTTTTTAATCTGTGTGTATGTCAATTTACTAACCAGAACTCTGGTATCTTTCAATTTATGTTACAGAGGTCACTGAATAAATTTCAAATATGCAATAAATAAAATATTTAAAAGAAATACATAAAACATTTTAAAATTGCAGCCATAATATGCATCCAAATTTACTATTTGAAAAGTATAGTTTTTGATATTTTAGATGTTCCTTGTTAAACCACACACTGTAGAAGTATAACTTGTAGCTCATTCTCACCTTATTGAGTCTATTAGAAAACATGAGCCAATTAGAGAATCCTAACATTGTGCTTCTGTGCACTCCGTTCTTCAGGTCTTTCAAAAACAGCTTGTCACCCTTTACAACATGATACTGCATGGTGTCATTATCCTGGAATTCACACAAAACCAAATAGTCAGAGACAAGTATTAGAATCAATAAAGTAACAGCAAGTGGAATAGAAATTTAAAGAGAAGATGCATAGTAATAAACCATCTTGGTCACAATCTTCAGAAGAATCATTTTCTTTACATCTCTAATGGCTGAACTGCAGATTGGCCTTTAACAAGGCTGTTGCTTTGCCATACTCAACCACATCAAGTTCATCTGGATTCACAGAAAAAGTAGCAGAAGAAAAATATTTCCATTGCAACCCTCAGAGATAATAACATTCATATGTGAAGAGTTGTAGAACCTAGAAAAAAGTTCAGCGTGTTGCCAAACCAACTCATGAAGCAGAAATGCTAATTTAGTTTCATCGTTATAGTACATACTGATACCCAAAGGACACCAACCTAAAACCAAGTCCTTAAATGATATATAAAAGAGCTACATTTTATTAAATAATAGTGAATAATGTATACATTTATAGTTATACCATTATTAAATTAACAGAGGTTTTCAATTATATGTACATTATATGATTACAACCATATCTCATTTTTCAGTGGAAAGCAATTGGAGATATACCAGAGTTTCCAGCATTTCTGTGCATATGGCAGTTCAGAGTTAACCTGTGAATTGATTATCAGTCTCTTATACATATGAGTCTTCTTGGGAACAGGAATTGTTGGCTATCATATATGATGAGGTAGAAACCCCTTTTTAAAAATTAAATAAATGCCTTCCTCTAGGAGCTTTGGGGCGCATGAAGCAGCCAACAACAGTTAATTCCAAAAGTTTTATCTCAAGATTGAATCCAAATTCTTATTTATTGATACGTTGTTTCCCACAAATAAAGAAATGTGCAATCATGTACATGTTGAATGAAAAATTAAATCTCATTGAGTTAGGGGAGCTTATCTCTACATGAGTACAATTAGAACTATTTATTTAAAAAAGTAAACTCTTACCAGTTGTGTAATATTTGATGCTTGGCAATATTTCTCAATTGAATTATTCCCTGGGACAAAAATAGTATATTTTTCTGATGACTCAATTTCTCTCACCAACTGATATCTCTGAAAGTTTAAAAAACACCATTAGCAAGCTAATCAACTTAATGAGGATTGCAGTTGATAGCTAAACAAAAAAATCATATTAAGATTATTTTTAAATATAATTTTGCCAATTCCTTACTTAGAAAATAGCAACAACGAATGATTAATATTAAGAATTCAGAATGAAAAAAATCACTACTGTTTGTATCAGCAACAAAGCTTTGGTTGCTTTGGATAGTAAGCTATTTTGGATAGCAAGATGGATAGCAAGATAATATAAATTTAATAATAAATAATTTAATTTCTTCAATTATTTGATTCAGGGATGAATCCTTTGCACCCAGCTATTATAATGTGTGAATCAATGTATAAACTTAGTTTCTGTCTTCTACTGTATCACCTACTAAGATAATCTTCCTCTAGCTCCTTGTAAGATAAAGAGCCATGGAAAGATTCATGCTTGGCATTACAAGACAAGATAGAAAGACCTGCACAAATGAAAGTATATGATATAATTGAGAGAGTAAAAGAATTGCATGGAAATGGGCTGGTCACATAGAAAGAAGAACTGATGGCAGATGGATCAAGACAATCATAAAATGGATCCCACTTGACAAAAAGCATCCAAGAAAGGGATCTAAAACAAGATGGACCAGCGACATCAACAAGTATATTTAAAAACAATTTTAACATTGGCAAAAGGGACCATATTGCTTGGGATCATATTGGTTGGAAACATATGGAAGAGGCTTTCATCTTGCAATGGATAGACAATGGCTAAAATGATGATGAAGATTATGATCTTTCGGCTGAGGACTTTACCTCCAATAGCTCTTTAAACCTCCAGAAGGAGGGCACAGTGTTTAGTTGCTCCTGCAGACCAGGTGGGATCTTGACAGATGTTGGTAACAGAACCTGATCAAAGGAAAAGTGAAAAGAGGAAGACCAATTACGTGACTTTTTTTCATCTCATAGTTATAAATAACGGTGTAAATAGGGTGCTATTGAGAGAGAACAATTAAATTTTAGAAGATTCTTCTCAATACTTGGGTGATATTGTTGCTTCTATTTAATGAAAGACCAATAAATGAGATACGCTTAGCTCATATCTCATAAATCCCCCTTCCCCCACTCGAACAACAGAAAAAGACAAAGATCCAAACCAATCTAATCAACCTACCTTGCTGATGATATAAATAGTGCTATTAATAGCAGGAATATCACCCACCACAATGCTGGCATTGTGAATAGTTATTTCCTGAAAATCAAATATATGCAGATATTAATTCTGTATTATTACTATTTTTTATTGAAGAAAATTTATATGGCCATCCAACTCACTCACAGTTATTCTGGGCAGCTTACAACACTAAAACCAACCGAAAAAATAATAAAACAATACCCCCTCCCTCAGTGACAACAATTAAACAATCCATGGGATGGGCTCCATCCACTCTGGGGTCTCCAGACTCATTGACAAAATGAGTCTTCAGAGCCTTGCAAAAGAGTGGCAAACATATCTCTGCAGGGATGATGTTCCACATGGAGAGAACTACCATGAAGAAGACTCTTCTTTTTAGTCCCTCTAGATCAGGGGTGTCAAACTCGCAGTGTCACGTTGTCATCAGGTGATGCATCACAACTTTTCCCCCTTTTGCTAAACTGGGGGTGGGCGTGGCCAGCGTGTGCTGGATCCAGCCCGCAGGCTGTGAGTTTGACACCCCTACCCTAGATGGATCTCCTTAAGGAAGGAGACTATAGCATTCACTGCCTCTCCACTCTGGTGGGTCAAACAGATGAGTTCAGGAAAAAATGGTCCTTCAAATTAGTCCCATTAGAATTAAAGTATGACTATTCCTATCACATTTATATCAAAACACTTTTGTGCTCTAATTGGGGTGCAGGGCTGATTGGGAAACCTTAATTTAGGATTGAATATATCTTTTCTAATCTGTCATCCTCTAAATTTGTCAAGCTGCAGTGGCTCTAATTATGGGCTATGCATTCAAGCACAGGAGAACAGGATGGGCGAAGCTTATCAAAATGTTCCATTTTAACCTTGAGAGTTGCTACATGCCTTCGTACACACGCTATGATCAACATTTCCAAAATAAAAAACATGAGCCTGCAGATTCGCCTTGGTTCTACTTTCCTTGGGGCACCATTTCTTTAGTTGAAAAGTAGCATAGCACATTTCAATAATATCTCTCTAATTTTGCTATTGGAAATAATGTTCTTAACCTATAAGCTTACCCCGTTATTCTTCTTTATTTCCCACTTGGCCTCTGGATTGAGAGTGGGGAGTTCTTGGCCAATATATTTCTTGAGTTGCTGAGTTGTGAAGGAACCCTGGAGGATATGAGACCTACAATAGGATAAAAATCTTAACAAAACTACAATTTGCTGGTTAACAGCCAAGAGAACAGTTAGAGAAAAAAAAGCACTGTATCTTTTAAATGTGTCAGGAGAGTCTATTAAAAAGACAATTCATCATCCATCTTATCTAGTCATCCAGGTTATTGTTGTCTCAAAGACAACCAAAAGCAATCAAAGATGCTTTTCAAAAGGCAACTGGACTCCCTTTGTTTTGCCTTTAAGACATTTTACTGTGATAGTGTGATCAAAACTGTTGTAAAGGGCTTTTTAAACTCACAAAAATAGGCAAAGTTTTGATCAACCTTGACTTTTTAAACTACACTTTGCCAGCAGCCTTGTTGGTGTGAGATTAGTTCCAAATTTGGAATGTATATTTTATTTTTCTTATTTATTTATTTTGCTTTGTCAATCGCTTACAAGATAATAAGTATAAGTATATAGATAGTTATGAATACACGAAATGGGTACATATAAGAAAAATAAAAGAAACAATAGGACAGGGACGGTAGGCACATTGGTGCTCTTATGCACACCCCCTAGAGACAGACCTCTTAGGAAAGGGGTGAGGTCAATAGTAGACAGTAGTCTAAGGTTAAAGTTTTTGGGGTTTGGGGAAGAAACCACAGAGTCAGGTAGAGTATTCCAGACATTGACCACTCTGTTGCTGAAGTCATATTTCCTGCAATCAAGTTTGGTGCAGTTAACCTTGAGTTTGTATCTATTGTGTGCTCTTGTGTTGTTATGGTTGAAGCTGAAGTATTCATTTACAGGTAAGTCATTGCAATGTATGATTTTATATACCATACCTAGATCAGACTGAAGACGGCATAATTCAAGGTTTTCTAGGTCTAGAAGTCTGGTGGCATAAAGTATTCTGCAACGAGTAGAGGAGTGGAGAACTCTTCTTGTAAAATATTTCTGGACTTTCTCAACTGTGCTAATATCAGATACGTAATGTGGGTTCCAGACTGATGAGCTGTATTTGAGTATTGGTCTAGCAAATGCATTGTATGCTCTAGTTAGTAGTGTGATATTACCAGAGAAAAAGCTATGTAGGATTAGGTTAACAACTCTTAATGTCTTTTTGGCTAAGTAGTTACAGTGGGCTCTAGCACTTAGATCATTAGAGATGAGTATTCCAAGGTCTTTTACAGAGCTTGGATCCTCAACAAGGTCCTGACTATTCAGCTTGTATTTTATTTTCTGATTTTTTTGCCAATATGTAAGACAGAGCATTTATTTGTTGAGATTTGAAGTTGCCATTTGTTTGACCATTCTGATACATAGTCAAGATCTTTTTGAAGGGTAGCAGTATTGTCTGTGGTATTGAACAGCTTTACATCATCAGGGAAGAGAATGCAGTTGCTCTTAATATGATCACAGAGGTCATTTATGTAGAGTATGAAAAGAGTTGGTCCTAGAACACTGCCTTGTGGGACACCACTATTGACAGGTACAGAATTTGATAGGACACTCCCAATTTTGACCATTTGTTGTCTGTTTGACAGGAATGCTTCTATCCAGTTATGCAGCTGTCCAGAGATACCATAAGATTTTAATTTTAGGAGTAGTTTGTCGTGTACCGCTGAATCAAAGTTAGCACATGTTATCAATGCCTGCTAATAGCTGTGCTGTGTATAATTTATTTTTTGGATTATTTTTCATTTTTAAAAAATTACATCCTCACTAAAGAAGAAATAAATTTTCTTTCTGCCTTCAAAACAACTTCATCTCACAACTTTTCTTCAGTATGGACATTTAGTAATCCATGTCCTGAAAAATCCAATAGAGCCCAGAGAAAAGTTTTTGTTTGAACTAAGTTGTTTGCTGTACATTTGATCCATAGAATTCCCTGATCCCAAGAGATTGCTTTAAGTTAGGGTATCTGATAACTGAACAGATAAAGGAGAACAGGAACAACTGGAAAGGAGGACAAGTGGGAGGAAAGGTATCACACACACACACAGTTTTAGTTTCTTGGCATCAGCACCAACAATTATAGTGAGAAACTGAAGATAAATACATAGAGTCCTTGATTGAGCTTGATTATTTGCTTGAAGACAATTCATTACTGGACAGTGCCTGAAGATGTTACCTAGTTGGGTAATAAAACATCTGCAAATGAACAATCTAGTTCAGAGACCACCAAGAATTCCACAGTTTAATTCCCAGGTATAGAATAGATAGAATTCTTTATTGGCCAAGTGTAATTGGACACACAAGGAATTTGTCTTGGAGCATATGCTCTCAGTGTACATAAAAGAAATGATACATTCATCAAGAGTCAAGAATCATAAGGTACAACACTTAATAATAGACATAGGGTACAATATGCAATCAAATCATACTAGGAAACAGTCAATTAAAAAAATTGTAAGGATACAAGCAACAAAGTTACAATCATACTGTCATAAGTGGGAAGGGATGGGTGAAAGGAAGGATGGGAGGATTAATAGTAATAGTAGTAATAGTAATGCAGACTTAGTAAATAGACAGTGTTGAGGGAATTATTTGTTTAGCAGAGTGATGGCGTTCAGGAAAAAACTGTTCTTGTGTCTAATTGTTCTGGTGCGCAGTGCTCTATAGTGTCGTTTTGAGGGTACGTGTTGAAACAGTTTATGTCCAGGATGTGAGAGGTCAGTAAATATTTTCACAGCCCTCTTTTTTGACTCGTGCAGTGTACAGGTCCTCAATTGAAGGCAGGTTGGTAGTAATTGTATTTTCTACAGTCCTAATTACTCTCTGAAGTCTGTGTCTGTCTAGCTGGGTTGCAGAACCCAACAATATATATATATATTACTACATATATTCTCTTCTATTAAAGCAACAAGAACGCATACTTATATCTATGAACTTTTTCCAGCATCAGAAAGACTGGTTTTTTTTCTATGACCGAAATATGCTAGAGCTAATTACGAAGCAAAAGTCTTCAGCATGTAACTGATTAAGGTCTTGTCAATCTGAAGCAGCATGAAAATAGTTTTAATCAACTAATTGATGTCAGGGAGCTGAACTACAAGAAAGCATGAGCATGGCTGGCTCAGGAATTATGGGAGTTGAAGTCCACTAGTCATAAAAGAGCTATGGTTCCCTATCCCTGATTTAGATTATATCTAAAGCTATGCCTGCCAGATGGAGGAAACGAGGTTAAAAAAGACTTGTCCTCCTTTGGTTAGATGACTAGTAACCCTATAGATGTATTGTTGGGTGTGCCTGAACCTAATAAATGTTCTTATGTTCTCTAGTCCAAAGAAAGAAATTCAAACATCTCCAATCACTCTCATTGTTACTGCTACCCAATCAGAAAATGTTAGAGGACATTCTAAAGATAAGAAAGTTAAACTGGATATTCTTATGCACTGATTTATATGTTTGCATTCCTATGCATTGGTAAAAGTATGTTTGTGTCAACGTTCCAGCAAACCTCCATTCCAACCAAGAACTCCGAGACAGACATCTCTCAAAGCTTCCTTTATTTGGATAGTCACTGGTACATCCGTGGAATCCTGAATCGGAAAGTTTCAGGCTTCCTTGCAAAAGTAAAACCTACAAATCCATCCCCATCCCTATCATCACATCACATGGTCCAATCACCATCCATCCCAAAATAAATTTCCTTTTCACTATGTGTAACACTACGTGACCTTGAGACAGCAGAAGAATTTTATTTTGTCTAACGAGATATACTCAAATGAATTCCCCCCTCCCACTTTCTCAAGGCTTAATTGTGGCAGTGTGGGATTAGCGAATCTCAATATGGCTTCCAAAGCTGACAGTTTATACATTGGTACCCATATTTCTTTTTTAAAAAAATATATAGATGGCATGCATATGGGTATACACATCTAGGTCAAGAAAAATGTTATGCCGAATTATAAGAATATCTGAAAAGAGATGCACAAAGTCTGTATTTCATGTGTGTGCTATAAGCACAACACAAATAGATGAAACCACATTTTGTTAGGTGAAGTGCAGAGGTGCCCTAAAAGTTTTGTGTTCGTGTAAAAGGAAACTACTTCATATTGGAAGAGTCCATCTTCTTGCATTGCCTCCCCTGGAAAAACAAGTGTTTCAAATTGCAAAAATGTCTAATCCTACTAAGGTCACCTACCTCTTTAGATTATCACAGGTACCCTACTAAAGTATGTATTTCAGCCATCATTGAACACTCATTCTTGGAAGCTGAAAAAACTGGTACTCAAAAACCCAGGTGGATGTACTGAGAACTGTGCTGCAAGGCCCATTGTAAAATCTTTGAAGCAACCCCATCATACGCCAAACCTGTCACCTGGCACAGATCAAACCTGAGTAGCTTTCACTAATCAAGAGAAAAATGGGTTTACTTAATTTATACTAGTTTTGATTCTGACAAAGATGGACAACAGTACCTGACAAGAGATGGTAGCATGTTGGACTCCAGCCAGAACTCTTTTTCATCCTTGCTCAAATTTTGGACAGCTTCTTTTTGTGGCACCAGAACAGTGACATTGGCTCCTCTGGGCATACTGAAGTGGGATTTCTTTTGATCAAAGAAAGACAACATGCACAGGCATTAATGCTAGTTACTTCTGTGTTTAGTTTAAAAGGCATGGAATTAAATATGCAGATCCACCACCAGTCTCTTCAATGAAACCACTCAAATTAGTGGAGTCTGATAAGATAGCTCAGAGTTCCAGCATTTTGTATTATGAAACTATTTTACTTTACAAATCATTGTATGTAGACAATAAAGCGGTGTTAGCATCTTTCTGATCCAAAGACTTATCTGCATGACCATCTAAAGATAGAGCACGTTCATTTTCTTCAAGCAAAGGCCTCATTAAAATATGTGTATCTTCTGATCAGCAATAAACATATTTTTTTAAAAAAATACAAAAGTAGTTTTAGTTTTAAAATTGCCCAACAGATTGAAACATGGGTGTTTTGATTCTCTAAGCAACTTACCTAATTACAAAGGCTGAAATTCTTAATTTATAAATCAGTTGCAGTGAACAGCTTTTGAACAGATTTATACAAAGTTCTGCTTAGAGAACCTTTTTTGTCAAAAACCTTAAAAGACCATTTTTAAGATAAAACTCTTATTTTAAAATGTAAATAGATTTTTTTCCTACTGATGGAACAGTATGCTAAAACTGTTTCGTTTTTATTTCATTTTTATTTCATTTCTTGTTTCAGAAATGTTAAAGTAGCACTCAACAACAGGAAATCCTTACCTTAATCCACTGATAAAAAGTTGAAAAGTGGTAATACCTTACCAGCTCCTTCAAAAAGAAAAAACAACAAATGTATAAAGCATTATTCTAGAGGTCTTAAAGAAAAAAGACGATTGCTAAACAAGTTTAATTTAACCCTGGTTTGTTTATAAACTAAGGCAATGTGTCAATATAAAGGTAAGCAGACCACATTACAATTTTAATCCTACATGTAGTCTAGGCAAAGGATGGTTAGATACTTGGGAACTTGCCTAGCAATCAAACCAAAAGAGAATACTGATATTTTCCTACTATAACAGCAGAAACTATAATTATTCATATAAGCTGCCCAGAGGCATTTGATAATAATATGACTGGCATATAGACTTAATAAACAAATAAATTTAATTGTCTTTATTTTAAATATTTATGGTTTGTTTACATTTTATATCAGAGTGTCCAATTTTATCAATTTTAAAACTTTCAACTCCCTATGGTTGGCTGCAGAATTCTGGGAGTCTTAAAATTGCCAAGGTTAGACACCCCTTCTTTATATTTTTCTTATTGGCACCCGTATCTTTAAAATAGCAGATTATAAAAGAACAAAACAGAGGGAGATTAATTCATTCATCCACCCATCCATCCAAACAGCTGGATAACATTCCACTTCCAATAATGCCAAGTCAGAAGAAAAGCCTTTCCACAGAAAGGCAGCCATAGGCTTTGCCTCATTATTGGACTTTTTAAGGCTGGAAATGTGACAAATTGGCCAATTCACTCCGTTATTCATGTTTTCTTACAGGACTTCATTTTATTTCTGGTTTTCTGTATTTCTGTATTTTTATCATTATTAAGTACAGAGAAAATATGTCGATAGGGCTGCTAAGAGTTGACGTCAATTTAATGCCATATAATTGATCAAACGTTTTACCATTCCTTATAGAATGTCTTTACCAAGGCAACTTAATATAAAACAATAGCTTCCTTTTCTCTTCTGGTGCAAGCATAAACTCCTCTGAACATGGAAAGAGCATTTAGCTCTCGAGGCGGGGGCAGGGGGAGGTCACTTAGGTAAAGGAACTGGGGACATTGTCATGTGGCAAAGCAACTATAGGAAAAGATAGTTTGGTTCTACTTTATGGTCCAAACCAGCAATCTTTGCCTGGATCTCTCTCAATTGGTTTAATGTCTAGTTTAATTAAAAGAAGGGCTGAGGGATAGGAGTTTTCCAATATTTAAAGGGCTGCCAGAAAGAACAAGGGGTCAACCTTTGTAGAAAAGCACCTGAAGGCAGAACGAGACACAATGGATGGAAACTAATCGAGGAGAGAACCAACCTAGAAATAAGGAGAAATTTCCTATCAGAGAGGATAATTAGCCTTGCTTCCAGAAGGTGTGGGTACTCCAACACTGGAGGTTTTTAAGACAAGATTAGACAACATAATTAGTCTGATGTTATAGGGTCTCCTGCTTCAGTAGGGGGTTGGACTAGTAGGTCCCTTCCAACTCTGTTATTTCTGCTTGCACTTCATCTGATTTTATTCTGCAGATATGGTTTGGATACATTTTTTTAGCATTATATTGACATAAAATAAGAAATCATTCTTGCAGAGTGAGTGGACAGAAATGACCCCCCAGCGGTGGGATTCAAATTTTTTTACTGCCGGTTCTGTGGGTGTGGCTTGGTGGGCATGGCAGGGGAAGGAGACTGTAAAATCTCCAGTCAGAGGTGGCATTTGCTGTTTCTCCGAACTAATCAAAATTTCCCCTACTGGTTCTCCAGAACTGGTCAGAACCTGCTGAATACCCACTTCTGATGACCTTCCTTTCTTTGCTTGTCTTGTGGAGACCCTCTCCCCTTTTTCTTCCAAGAGTTGTCTTACTTCTAGTCTGGTTTAATGGACAAGAGATTGGACTAGACTAGAAGGAAGAAATTCAGGTTCCAATCCCCTCTTCAGCCATTGTATTTCAATTTCATAAAATAATATATTCAAACTATGAATTGGTTTAAGGTTCCTATCACTGTACTGTAGTGGGGAAAATCATTGTCTCTCACAAAGCTGGTCATTGTGGTTTCCGGTTTAGAATGGGAAATCTAGAAAGTGCCGATTTTTTTCTTTTAAATAAGGAAGCTAAAGCAGAACAGTGTCTTTTTTTTTTATCTTAGAGAAATATTCCTTGGCATATTTTCTGCCTATAATTGCTCTTTTGTTAACGGGAATGATAAGCAAAAAGCTGAGTTTGAAAAGCGAGATGCTGTTCTGTGCATAATCAGAAAAGTCACTTGAAGTTTATGTTGGTCCAGAATATTTGCTTTGTCTGAAAGATACTCCGTCAAAGTGGTCTTTCCTAGCCTTATCAAAGTTGGCAGACACAGCCACTGCCATTGAGTTATGGTCCTTGCCTGATATAAATGCTGTCACTTTACTGCCCCCACCTGAAAGAGAATGGAAATGCATCTTTTTACCTTCATCACATCACCGTAACATTCAATTCCATCTCCTATATATCCATCAGAGCAACTGCAATTTTTTTCCCCGGTATTGAGAATCTGGCATACAGCCTGATGAGTTAAAAAAAAAAAAGAAGATAATTCTCAGCAATAAGAAAATAAAGTAAAGAAAATAGGTGAAACTCAATATCACCTAGAGACCTAATGCAGTATATCTGGTTCAGAGTGGTATGAGCTCCAGCGTGATGTGCCGTCCATAAAACCTTTGGTATGGCCCCCAGAGAATATCCAAAAATTGTTGCTACATGGCAAATTTTAATGGGACTGATGACAATTATTCAGCACATGTCTAGAGAATAATCAAAGTAGGTTCCCTAATTCTATGCCTTGTGTATTGTTGAATGATTTGTGTCACCCCACTTATTGTGGCTGTTAGCCAGGGGAGCTAGAGGGCAACTCATCTGAAATGTATTAAACCAGGAAGATTGTCCTAGATTATTTCCATGTCTTACCAGTTCATGGCAGCCCCCATTGTCTATCATACAAGGGTCAACTTTATCACAGACATAACCATCACCTTCATAGCCTTTCTTGCACATGCAGCTGCTCTGAAAATTGAAACAGTAGGGACATTAGTTCCTATACAATAGTATAAGTTTTCTAAGAAAAAGAAAACAACAACAACCTTTCATTTTAACCTTTGTTTAATAATTTATAGAAATGTAGGAAAAAATTAAAATCTGTTACTATGGAGATTCTCAGTCATCCAGGTCATGGTTGTTCCAAAGATGCTTTTTCAAGAGGCAACTGGACTTTCTGGTTTTTCTTTGAAGACATTTCTCAGAGCTGAAGAAACTTCATGGATGAGAAGCAAAACGTCTTCAAAGAAAAACCAGAAAGTCCAGTTGCCTCTTGAAAAAGCACCTTTGGGTCTGTTACTAATATATTTTTAACTTGAAATTTGAAGCCAGCCTAAATAGAAACTTTCTGGATTTTTCATGTGCAAAACTAGATAATGGTTGGAAGACAGAAGTCCTCCATCTGTTCTGAATTACAACTTCTAACCTCCTTTCCTATGGATGTCAATAATAACAATAGTTCTATCTGAGGATAATCCTCCTCAAGACAGAAGTGGATTTGGGGATCTCGGAGTCATCTGCATTCATTGAGACCAGCACAACCTTTGTTCAGAATCAGTCCCTGAAGCTTTGAATCCTCTCCCAGGACTCTGATTGAGTGCAATCATCTACCTAGGCAAACTTTTGTGACAGCAGTAGCATCAGATAGAATATTGGAAAGCTACAAGAACCAACATTCTTCCTTTGTAATCAAGTCTACCTTACAATCGACATAAATATGGCCCTACAAACCAGGATAACTTTTCAGCTGAGTCAGGCATAATAAGCACCACATGAGTTAAAACCAACATAGTATTCCTTGATTGTCTTGCAGTTGCATCAGGTTTAACTAGAACCAGCATGTGTCATACTCTAGTATTAAACTCCCTAACTGAAACTAGCCGCTTGTCAGAAACAGTGTTTTGCTTCTTGTGGGCTTATGCAGTTGATCATTCCCATAACTTAAACCCAGACAGACATGTGTACTGTATTGTCTCTGGGCTGCCTACTTGTAGGGCGTGTCAAATTTTTCAACTTTCAATTTCCAAACATTAGAGGCGCTCAAAAGTTGTGACATGCCTTCTGGGTTGTAAAGATACTTTGGTTACTTTAATATAATTTAGATGTGCTGGGCAAGTAACTACATAAATATCCTAACTGTTTAACATTTTCTTTGTTTCACTAGGCCATCGACTTTGTCCTCTTCTGTTTGCTTTTTGGGAATCTTAACCTAGATTTTCACGACTGTAGTTTTTAACTTATTATTTGACTTATACTTCTACATTTTTGTGGCCATGAATAATCCTTTGGGGGAATTAGACAAAACAAGTCTTTTCCTGGAATTGTGCAATAGAGGACCATAATGTGATTCTGGGAAAAGGCCAGGATTCTTAAAGGAGTTACAAATTCTCACTTTTATTGTTCCATTCAATGCAATTCAATAGAAGTTGAAAATGTTAAATATCTGTGGCCTGCAGCCACTTTAAATATTTGATGCTTTCATATAAAAAGCACAAACCTCATCATTATTTAACAAACCCAAGAGCCATAGATCCTTTTTTAACAAGACAGCATGGAATAACAATACTGTACCTGTCCAGGGCCAATGTAATTACAATCAGCATTGATGTGGCAGCCTCCTCTGGTTTCTGTTACACAATTGTCTATGGCAACACAAGCTTTTCCATCCCCAGTCCAACCCCGGATGCACTGACAGCTGACTCTGCCAGGACCCGTACTGGTACATGTAGCCTGGCAAAAAAATGGAACAAGAAGATGAGAAGGAGAGAAGGGCATTTCTGCACTTTCCGTTTAAGCTATTCTTGTTCGTGCCATCTTGATTCTAAGCCATCTTAACAAAACCCTGTGCAAGCTGAGGCATGTTGGCAACAACTTGTAAGTGATTTGTTTTGCTATCACATCATTTCATTGGATAATTCCCTGTTATGTTTCAAGAAAGCACTTTCATAACTATGGGCAGGTGTTTGAGGATAATTCTATATGTATGAGTGTGTCTGCGTGCACTCAAATATATATCTCACGTGCACAGACTTAAATGTTATATATGTATACACAGACAGATACATAGAAATAATCAACATGCAGATACAAAGCAAGCAGCTCAAATACATTTCTCTTGTTCTACAGTACACTCTACAAGGTTCTAAACCTCCATTTACCAACAGTGCTGAACCAGCAAAATGGTTAAGATTTTTGCTTAGCACAGTAAAAGGTTGCAGTTTGAAACTTGGTAGAAACTGAAGGTTTTTTTTTAGCACATATCTTTTCTTGATTAGATTGTTTTCCTATCTCAGCTTTTTAAAACAATAAGTTTGGGGCTTCCTGTTTTAGCAATTTTCCAGTCACTTGACTGGAAAAGTTTCACTTCCAGCTCTCAGATAGTCCAACCTTCTTCTCCTTCTTCTTTTAGTACAAAAGAATTGGACCGCAGCCTCCAGTTTGGATGAAACTTAGAATTACTCTTATATGCAGTTTTAATTACTGGGGGTTTATCAGGGGTGGGATTCAATATTTTTAACAACCAGTTCTGTAGGCTTGGCTTAGTTGGTGGGCATGGCTTGGTGGTCATGTGACTGGGTGGACATGGCTTGGTGGTCATGTTATTGGCTGGGCATGGCCAACTCAATATCACTCACATCGAGGTGCCATCTCCTCGCCTGGCCTCTCATGACTATGGGGATGCTGCAACAGTCGTAAGTGTGAAAAATGGTCATAAGTCACTTTTTTCAGTGCCATTGTAACTTTGAATGGTCACTCCACACAAGCAAAGTACCAGCAAAGGAGGGTTAAAAGACTCCAGAGAAGTTCCTGAGACAGGAAGTCTAGTCCTGCCAAGAATGGATTAAGGGTTAACGGAGAGGCAGTTTCTGTAAGCAATACCAGAATGTTTCCTTCCTGCCTTCCTTACAGGATTAGGCCAGTAATTTCTTCTAACAACCGGTTCTCCGAACTGCTTAAAATGTTAACAACTGGTTCTAGCAAATAGATGTGAACTGGTAGAATCCCACCCCTGGTGTTTATACTAAAGTTTATTCTAAAGACACATAAATCACCCCACCAAAAAGGTGCTTTGAATTATCATTCCACTAATGGACAATCCTGAATAGAATTTGCACCTCACACGGCATCTGCCGGGACTATCTGTATAAATGGGGCCAAGTATCCTCCCCTCAGTTGTGACAGTCCCAATTCCACACCAAACTGTAGCTCACATTGTGACGGGCTGTAAGCTGAGGGCATATACCAGTCCAATATCTAAGTTTTTTTTAATATTAATGAAGCTGTGCTTCAATGGTACAATGCCCTAGACCAATGATGGTTAACCTTTTGCCGAAACTGGAGTGCATGCACACACTGGAGTGCACCTGCGCCGCACTGGAGCACCAGAAGCCAGAAGAGAGCAGTTGGCCAGTGCGTATGTGCATGGCAGCCAGTGGCACTTCTGGGTTTTGTTGTGTGCATGTGCATCAGACAGTTGGTCAGGCACACATGCACACCAGCCAGCTTCTCTCTTCCAGGTTCTGTTGCATGCATGCCCGCCAGCCAGCTGCTCTTCACACTGGCTGGTGTGCATGCATGTGATGGAACCCAGAAGAGAGCAACTGGCTTTGTGCACATGTGTGCTGGACCAACTGTCCAATGCACATGCACATGTGCCATAGGTTCGCCATACGGACCTAGACATTGATATTTCAACATAGATCTTTTTAATATTTATATTCTATTATGTTTTAGATGAAATCTTAATATATATTGCTAGTCCATGTATGATACGCCATACGCTAAACAAACAAACAAATAATACTAAGGTAACTTTTATCCGGATTAATCCAAAAGATGATTTAGGTTAGTAAACAAGAAAATATTGACCCACTTACATTATCTGAACATCCTCCCCTTCCTGGCTTACTACAGGCATCAATGGGCTTGCAGGAAAATCCATCCCCTTCATACCCATCAAGACAGACGCAGCTAGAAGACAGGCAGAGAGCAGCTAATGAAATCTGGGGTGCCTACGAATCGCATACTCACACAAGTTAAATAATTCTAATTTATGACACTTAAGCCATGACATCATCATGTGAATGGTGTCATTTGAAACATATTATATCATTTACATATTACATTACATTTGCATAATGACATCATTGTGCAAATGCTATATATTGTAGCAGAATTTGTGTCAGTCTGTGCTCCATTCAAAATCCAAGAAAGAAATACTTAGACTCCATAGATTAGAGGAAAGAAATCTTTTACTGAAATTTGAAGTGGTAGCTACAGGTAGAATTCTGAATCTAAGGAATTAGGCGCGCAGATCACATATACAAAGGGATGGAATTGTTCCCACCCCCCAAAGTTCAAAAGATTCTTCCAATTAAAAGTTCTGAATATGATCATGTGGGCATCTTCAGGTGGTGATGAGGCCTCTGTCCGTTGACCTTGACATATTTTGATAAAGATTCGCAGTTGCGCAAAGGAAAGAAGGCCAAGCAAGGAAATAGAACCTTAAGAGCAGGAATTTATACTCCCCCCCACTCCTCATTATACAACACAAGAATGTAACACCTCCAGCTCTCTTCCCAGACGCAACCCCTCCCCCCGTTACTCATGGCAGCCGAAAGATGCAAAGCAGTAGAAAAGTAGAAAAGATCTTGAAAGGTGACAATTTGGTCAATTGCATACAAATATCCAGTAAATTGACATTTCACCATAGTTTCTATAATGTCTGTGTTAAGCCTGGATTCCCCAACTGGTGTTAAGGAAAACAAACTAAA